CTGCAGCCCTGGCAGTGGACTGAGCACCTTCCCTGTGCCCTGACAGGGAGCAGGGGTGGGTGGGAGAGCGGGGGTCTGTGGGGTCAGGAGGTGGACAGGAGCCTTGAGCCACCCAGGACATGGTGAAGGGGCTGACCATTCACCATAGGTGAGCCCCCCCTCACGCTGAGCCCCCCCATAGCTGTGTAGAGACTGCTCTTCTCCACTTTCATCCATCCAGCAAAAGCTCCCTGGGGCTGGAGGAAGAAGAATGTGCTGCTCGTTCCCATCCTTGGAAGCTCTCCCAGGGCTGGGAGCAACTCCAGACGGTCCAACAGCACTGGGTCTCTGCATAAAGCGAGGTCTGGCTGCTGCCCTGTGTCAGGTCTGCAGGTGCCTGATGGGTCCCTGCCTGAGAAAAGGGGAAGGGTGGGCTTTGTCCAAAATAACCTTGCTCTTCTCTCCTGGGGATGCAAACACCCCTTCCCTCATCCCATGGGGCCTTGCTGGGTGAACCTCCCCGCCTGGGAGTGTTCCCGATGCCCCCAGGAGGCTCCAAGCCGGCACCAGAGTTGATGCGATGTTCAGTGATGCTCCCAATGGCTTTGGAGATGTTAAGGGCCAGGAAACATGGGGGTCAACTGGGCTTTCCATCTCTTGGGAGGGAATCCTCTCATGTCCTTCACAAACACTGGGCTGTAGAGCCCTGCAGCAGAAGATCAAGCATCCTGCTGTAGCCCTGCTGCCAGTTGGTGCCAGTCGTTCTCCTCGGTGCAGACAGCTGCTCAGGGACGCAGCCTGGGCACAGGGAGTGTCGGGGGCAGCAGGGACCTGGGTGACCACTCAGGCGATGTTGTGTTTCAGGGTGCCCCTGACCCACCATGACATTCAAGCAAGCGTCCATGATGGCCCCGGAGGCCACAGCCACCACAATGCCCATGGCCACGATGGAGAACTCCACCGAGGCTGGGGGGCAGGGTGAGAGCAAGGAGGACATGTTCACCAAGCTGAGGGACAAGTTCATGAATGAGCTCAACAAGATCCCCTGTGAGTAGCTGCCTCCTTTTCCAAGTGTTCCCTTCCCCATGACCCCAACACTGCCCTGGTCCCCATGCAGCATGTGGGATGAGGCAGTTGGGTGGCTGGGACCAGGGGAGAGCTGTGGGGCTGACCACACCAACTTCTGCCCACAGTGCCACCGTGGGCCCTCATCGCCATCGCCGTAGTAGCCGGCCTCCTTATCCTCACCTGCTGCTTCTGCATCTGCAAGAAGTGCTGCTGCAAGAAGAAGAAGAACAAGAAGGAGAAGGGCAAAGGCATGAAGAACGCCATGAACATGAAGGACATGAAGTCGGGCAACCAGGTGACGTCCTGCTGGGCAGCTTGGCCGTGTCTTGTGCTTGGTGATGTGGGATAAACTCTGTCAGGACACTCGCAGCTCAGGCAGCAGAGGGAGATGGAGCCACCAGGATCCTGGGGTGAGGCACCTGGAGCTGAGACAGCAGCACAGCCCTCTCCCAGCGCCTTGTGGTCTGGATGGGGCCAGGCTCAGGCTGCCACGGGCCAGCTGATGCTTCACCTGAACCAGAGAATGTTAATGTAATCCCTCGTGTCTCATGCCTTCCTCTGAGTCGCCCTCTTATTTCTCTGTGCCTTTAGCTGGGAGGGGAGGATCACCAGGGCAAAACCCCCACCAGTTTGGGGGTCCCCAAAAGGCCAGCGGTCGAGGCGTGTGCTGGTGCGTGGAGTGGAGCTGGGACTGTCCCCATGCTGGGGGGCCAGGAGGGGACAGCAGGAAGGCGTTGGTACCAGTGAGTCAGAGGCAGCCCTGGCCATTTCAGTTCGTCAGCCCAGCTCAGGGCATTTGGAAGGGGGTGGGAGGTTTTGGGTGTCCATTCCCACTCTTCGGAGCCATGTGGGCACTGTGGGCTGCAGGCAGGGCCGGACGTGCTGATGGAAACGCTCCAACATCCCTGCCCATCTGCATGACCCCGAAATGATGGGGGGTGGGATTCCTCAGTGGTGGGTGAGGGCTGGGGCTCGCCATACAAACCCTGATTGCCCACCTCACTGTGGGTTCCTTGTCGATGGTCTCTGTAACATGTCTCTCTTCCCTCCCACTGCTCTGTCTGCATGTTCCCTCTCCGTCCCGGGACAACTGCCACGGTAGGTACCATTATGAGCCTCCCTCTCGGTTGTCTGCTTCCAGGGTGGGACGGGACCAGGGCACACATCAGAGAGGTGATAAGGGGCTGAGGCTCCCACCCCATGGACCATGTCTTAGAGGGGCATGGAGAGGGGTTGGCTTTGCCTTAGACATAGGAGAATTAGGTTCTATCTCTATCACTAAGTTAATAAAATGGCCCTGCAAAGCCCTTAGCACCAGCTGCAGCACTCCCCCAATCACGGGTTTGGGGGAGGGTAGACTGTCCTAGAACCCTTTGCAGTATGCTGCTTGTCTGCAGTCCCCCCCATACGAACATCAGACCTCCTTCGGGGCCTTCCCGGCAGCTGCGTGGTGATGGGCAGAGCCAGCGATACCGCCGGCTGCTCTACCAGTGCTTTATGTCTCCAGCACTGGGGGTCTCCATGGGGAGAACCTGGGGGTTGAGAGGCCATCAGGATTGGGGTGCTGGAGGTCCCCAGTGGTGTGGGGATGGGGACGCTGGGCTGTGACCCTGCCACTGAGCCAAGCAGCTCGGCTGCCATTGCAGGATCAACAGGATGACGATGACGCGGAGATGGGTCTGACGGAGGGGGAAGGCGAGGAGGAGGAGAAGGAGCCAGAGAACCTGGGCAAGCTGCAGTTCTCGCTGGACTATGATTTCCAGGCAAACCAGGTGATGGGGCTGGAGCTTGGCTGAGGAGACAGAGGAGTGGGGTTTGCCCAGGGAGGGTATTTAAAAGGAGAAGTCTTCCTGGGTGTCACAGGAGGGAGGGGGGAACTGGGTGCTGTGCCATGGGGAGTCCTGCCCCACGTTGGGCTGGAGACAAACCCTTCGCATCTGCAGCATGTAGCTGGGCTGTCTCGCTGAAGACACACCTCTTCCCTCTCCAGCTGACAGTGGGGATCCTCCAAGCCGCTGAACTGCCAGCTTTGGACATGGGTGGCACCTCAGACCCATACGTCAAGGTGTTCCTGCTCCCTGACAAGAAGAAAAAATATGAGACCAAAGTGCAGAAGAAGACACTCAACCCTGCCTTCAATGAGACCTTCACCTTCAAGGTGAGCCCCTTCCTACCCTCAACATGGGACCTTATCTCCCACTCCCATCTTTCCCCTGACTGTGTCCCACTCCCGTACTTTGACCCTTGCTGCTAGGATGGTCCTGGCTTGGTCTTCTCTGAGCCCATTGCCAGCCCGGTGGTCCTCTTTGTGCAGGTGCCTTACCAGGAACTGGGTGGGAAAACGCTGGTGATGGCCATCTATGACTTCGATCGCTTCTCCAAGCATGACATCATCGGTGAGGTGAAGGTGCCTATGAACACGGTGGACCTGGGCCAGCCCATTGAGGAGTGGCGGGACCTGCAGAGTGGTGAGAAGGAGGAGGTGAGAGCAGGACCAGCACAAGGCCCTTGGCCAGATGAAATCCTTGGCCCAAGGGGTTGAGATGTGGGGTGGCCATGGGGTAAGTTCTGCTTTCTGGAACATCCAACAATGCTTGGGATGGTGGTTACTGTGGGGTCCCACCTGAATGCCATGCATGTCCTGGCCACGAGTGCTGGGTAGGATCTGTCCCCGTTGATCCTCCATGCTGCCTCTGTAACAAAAATGAAGAGTAGAATTATTTTGGATGCTGTGCTGGCACTGGCCTAACCCAGACCCAAAGTGATCAAACCCTTGTGCCAGTGCACGGGGTGATAGCTCACGCCTGCATCGAAGGTTGAGCAGGGTTTGGGGGGAACTGCACGTGGGACCATGTTCCGGCACTGCGGTGCAACGCACTTGCAAGGCTTTGATATCTGCTCTCTGCTCTGCTTGGCAGCCGGAGAAGCTAGGAGATATCTGCATCTCCCTCCGGTACGTGCCCACGGCCGGGAAACTCACCGTCTGCATCCTGGAGGCCAAGAACCTGAAGAAGATGGATGTCGGGGGGCTCTCAGGTGCGTGTCGGCTCACAGGCATTCTCCTCCCACCCTGCTGTGAGGCTCTCAGCATCCTTTGTTGGGGAAGGACACTGGGGCCATCAGTCTCGCAGGGCTTGGGGAAGCTCCCTCTAGTGCCTGGGACCTTCTGCATCAGAGGCGGTCCAAGGTCTGTCTGGGGTTGAGGGGAGATGGGGACGGGATGAGCCCCCTGTCCCTTAGGAAGGACATACCGAATTTGGCCCACCACTGTGTCCAGGGCCTGGATGCTGCAGGACCTGGGTGGTAAAAATCCTCCTTTGCTATTTCCGCCTGGTCCTGCTCCTCCTTGACTTGGGGCCAAGGACTACAGTCGACAACCTGTTTTATGCTAGAAGAGTCTCCCCAACTGTATCTCAGGGCTGAGCTCTGCCGGGGGGTCCTCAGCTCCCTCCAGACCTGCCTTAACCAGGAGAAGAGCAGTACCTGCATGGCTGGAAGGGTTCAGCTTTATTGCTGGGGTATCCTGCTTCAGAAACAGAGGTGACAGGCCAGCACTCACCGGTGTCACTCAACTGTCCTCAGCCCTCCTACAGAGGGACCCACAGGACGCAGAAGGGCTCCATCCGTCTTCTCCCACAAATCCTCTCCAGCTCATGTATTTTGGCTTTGGCCTCCAGCCACATACTTCAGAGCACGTTAGCTTGTGGAGGTCTCTGTACTCCATGGGGCACCTCATCCGAGGCTGAGATGTCTCCTGGGGCCAGGCTGATGGTGTCCTCTGGGCATCTCAGCCCTGGCTGATGATCTCCTGCCCCCCCAGATCCCTACGTGAAGATCCACCTGCTGCAGAATGGCAAGAGGTTGAAGAAGAAGAAGACCACAGTCAAAAAGAAGACCCTGAACCCCTACTTCAATGAGTCCTTCAGCTTTGAGATCCCCTTTGAGCAGATACAGGTTTGTCCTATAACTTCACTGGGAAGCAGGCAGGGTAGGGGTGATGGGAGAAGTCCCCCTGCTGCCTGAGCCCATGTCCCAGCCTTCCCAGCAGCATGAGTGGCTCCTGCCAAGTTCCTGGTCCAGTCACCCTTAAAATACTTCCAGTCCCAACCAGGATACAGGCTGATGCTGAGGGCAGGTGGTGCAGGTGGGAGGCTGGGCAGCACCCATGGGAGATGCAACCCCAACCCAGATCATGGCTGGAATGGGCTTTCATAGAATCATCAAATCTTTAAGGTTGGAAAAGACCATTAACATCATCAAGTCCAACATTACCCCAACGCTGCTCATACCACCACTGAACCCTGTCCCTTAACACCTTGTCTTCACATCTCAAATCCCTCCCAGGACGATGACTCCACCACCTCCCCGGGCAGCCCGTTCCAACGCCTGACAACACTTTTGGTGAAGAAATTTTCCCTAATAACCAATCTAAACTTCCCCTGGCACAACTTGAGGCCATTTCCTCTTGTCCCATCTCTTGTCACTTAGGAGAAGAGACCAGTGCCCCACCCTTCTGCACCCTCTTTTCAGGGAGCTGTAGAGAGCCATCAGGTCTCCCCTGAGCCTCCCCTTCCCCAGGCTGAGCACCCCCAGCTCCCACAGCATAGAAGGAGAGGAAAACTGGGTTTGCTTCTGTTAATCCTTCCCCACCTCTCTCCCCCCCTCTGGACATGCTCCAGCCCCTCAGTGTCTGTCTTGTAGTGAGGGGCCCAAAACTAAACAGCCCTGGTCCTGCTGGCCACACTGTTCCTGATGCCAGCTGGGATGCTGTTGGCTGCCTTGGCATCCTGGGCACACACTGGCTCATATT